TTTCTGAAAAGTTGGAAGCCTGTCAAAAATGTCGCCACAGGCCAATGTAAATGTGACAATAAAAATAAACTCAAATTTCTTTTGTTGTTTAATTTTTTTAATGGATTATTTTATGCAGACAGGGGAATGCTGCCTGCAGGTGCCTGTTTCCCAGAAAAAAAATTTGCTTCAGTAATTTTCAGCAGCCAGAATGATAATAAGCCCATTTTTATGTAAATAGGCATCATATGATGTATTTCTACAGGTTCCAACATGATTCATGATCTGTCTTTTGAATTTGGTAGAGGGTTTAAAAGAAAAATGGTTATAAAGCACATGTCCCTTTCATGCATCCAATTTATTATCAGGAGGATGCACGGCATCTTTGTCAACATGCCCTCTCTAACCTGGGATAGAAATGAAACAAATCAAGGCAGAAAACATTTGGAGGCTGATTAAAGAAGAACAGGATGGTCCAGAAATGTGTGGACTGTAGACACAAATAGTGTTCTGAATGGACACCCACTGAGCTTGGGTAGAATCAATTAGGTTAAACTCATTGCATCCACTTTGTGCTCTGCAGTGTGGCATCACCTGGAGAAGCCTTGGCATGAATTAGCACTGGATTGTCAAGGGAACTTGAGCTGCTAAATGATCTGTCTAGCAAGAGTCTGCCAAGTATTCACGGGAGACAGCAAACTAAGTGGCATTTTGGTGATTTTAATTAGATTTGGGAGAATAAGAAGTTGGTGCTAACATAGACATGTGTTGAAGAGCCAGCATGACTACTGCCGTGATTCCAAATATTTCTCTCTCTTTAATGACTGTGGACTATGTAGTGAGACCACTATGCAAACCTTTAAATGCCTTCAGATGTTTCCTGGTAAGGATACAATTTAGGAAGGAAGATTCAATGATGTGGTATGTGTATAATTATATTGTACCAATATTATATAATAATCACAACTAATGTTATTACTATAATAATACACATTATAATGATCATAAATATGGTTATAATAATTTATACACATGCATATACATATATAAAGGGTGCAGTGAAAATGAATTTCAGCACCTGATAAAAGAACTGCTTGTGAAATCTGTGTCCAAATGTGATATATTTTATATTGTAGCTGTATTGGTGTATATATTTTATGTAAAATTTATAAAACTACCACCAGAGGTCTCTCTAACCTAAAAATTCAATGGGATTGCTCCACTGGTAAGGAGATCTCAGAGAAAATCAGACAGTATGAAACAAGTGTGATGGGCCCACACAAGAACCATTCATATGCAATGTTTTTCTCCCCAACTGTAAAGGCTTATATACAACAGGACCTTGGTTGAGGAAGAAAATTTAGGGAGTGATTTTTTTAAATGTGTGTTATATATGAACCTCATGTATTTCTTTGGTAAAAATAGACATGTAACAGGAGTTCAGTTTATCTCAAATGGCTGCTAATGTTACTACTTTGGAATTCCAGAGTCGTCTGACAACCGAGTATCTCAAAGAACTTTGAGCCCAATAATTATTCCCACCACACAAACTCCCCAAGAGGTTGTTGGCCTTCTTTCAGCAGTCAGATAGCTGGGGGTGTATGCATGGGGCATGGGGCCCTGGGCACTGATTTAGAGGGTGCTCCAGAATGTCATCCCCAAGGGATCCCATATGGTGTACCCCTCCTCCCTCAACTCTCTGGCCTGTCTGCCCAGGACACCAAAACTGCTAGTTAATGCCTCTGTCCTTAAAAGAGACACAGGAGGATTAAATCATTTACCCAAGTCTACATAGGAAGCCGGGGTCAGATCCAGAATGGGGTCTATGGATATTGTTTATTTCTCAGTTGTATCAGTGTTGTTAACATAATTTCACCCACCTCAGTGGAAGTGCTCCTAACATACTACAGTGTGAGAGAGTGTTAAGGCATCTTGGATCTCAATTACAGTACTGTGCCTTAATCATTATCTGCTGTCAGTGAATCCAAAAATTGCACAACATGATAGACAAGAACTCAAATTATCTGGGCATTAAGCATAGTTTTTAAAAGCATTGTTATGACCCAAAAACTCAGACCCTAGAGCAGTGATTCTCAACAAGCGTGCCATTAGCACTGTTAGGTGTGTAAATGCCTACACATGATTCACAGCATAAACCCAGAGATTTCCAATAGGGATCCAGAGTGTCAACAGTATCTGACCTATTGTAGTCTGAGTTCACTGCAATACAAGAATTGCTCTATTATTTTTCTGTATTCAATAAACAAGTGAAAGCTAAGAGGTGGTACTTCCTGAGAGGTGCCTCAAGTCTAACAAAGTTGAGAACCACTGCCTTAGAATTTGTAACCTATGGGTATGATGTCCAGGATGGTCCAGGAATTGTCCATAATTGCATTATGGACAATTTTGCATTTCAATAGAGAGGCATGCCCAAAGCATTTATGTGGTAGAAATCAACTCTTCATTCCTTTGATCAGAGTGGACCTGATTTGGGTCCCTTTCCTGAAAGCGGACAGCCCCTGATTACCCTATATACCACTGTGTGAGAAGGTAAAGGCCTTAAACCCTGAGAAGGGGAGCAGATCCTGCCAGCTATATGGTAGAAAAGAACAGTAAAGGGAAGCTGAGTTAATCAGGGGAAGGATGTGCCTTCTCCTCTCCTCTTGCTGATTAAAGCAGAAAAAGCTCTAGGGGCTGTTTCTCCCTGCTCTGCTTTTTGTTTTGCAAATAAATTAAAGAAACCCAGGGTATCCAAAGAAAAATACCCTGGAGCTTCATATTCATTTCCTGTCTAGTGAAACTGCCCATGTTAGTGTCCCACCCATTGTTATAACTGGTATGAAGGGGCCAGAGCAACAGGGACTATCAGGCCCATATTCTTTTCTGAACATCTGTGCGTGTTCCATGTGCACATCCTTCTAAAGGAGCCCAGACCCCGTCAGCCTGAATATCAGTGTATTAATTTAATTATAATTACCTGTTCTCTGATGCAGGAATCGTAACTATAAAAATAAACCTCAAGGTATAGCCCAAAAAAGTGTCAGCAAGCAAAGATATAGATTAGATTAGTTATAAGCTTGACTGAAAAGCCAAGTCGGGTGCTGAAAGGTAACAGACTTTGGCACTGATGGTTCCCAGAGGAACTGAATTCATCAGTCAGAGACCATGCACCAAGAATGACCTGCCTCCAGTCCCCAGGAGTGAACTTCAAGGGATCTATCTATCTATCTATCTTTTTAGCAACTCCAAACTAATTGTCATTTCCAGGGTATCCTGTAGAGCCATGTTTGAAACTGTTTCTGGAAATATATTCACTCAGAACTCTGGCAGTCTCTTAGTAGAGCCAAGAATGATGCATCTCTCAGCTGTAACTCAAAATGATGTCTGTAAATTGTTCTGAGTTATGTTATCCCACACCAGACAGAAGTTCACTGTTGGTTCCAGGGGGAAGGGGAATCTAGCTGGGACTGGGAGCCTGCAGCCAGGTTCCCAAAACAATGAACAAGCTCTCTGCCAGCGCTCCTGGTTTTCAGAATGGGAGCGGGGAAAGACAGCAAAGCGAGCTTCTTCTTGGGCCCCCTCCAGCCAGTGCTGAAGGGTGGGGTGGGTGAATTGGAGCTCCTCCCCACCTTGGCGGGGGGTGGAGGGGGGACTCTAATACACCCATCCCACCCTCTGTGGAGGCTTAAAAAAACCCCAGACTGAACTCCCTCCACTCCCTTCCTCCCCTCCCTTTCTGAAAACAGCTACAGGTTGAGAGCTCTGCAGACACAAGTTCCAGAAGATGCTACATTTTGAAATGCCTTTATCTGATATCTCCTTATGCAATGAGGAGTCAGATTTTCACCCAACTGGTCATTTTTGAAGAAGTTTGCAGCCCTACACTTGTGTTTAGTCACAGCTATAAACTGTTTTATGTGGCCAGATCAGGCAAAAATGGTCACTTCTGTCTGCACCCTGAGTGTTCTGGTTACAGTTACTAAATACATAGGAAATAAGTAGTAAACATGTAAATTAAATGTAAGTAGACATAAAGAAATGCAGAAGTGAATATGCTCCCAAAGTGCAGCAAAACTTGCTGGCAACCTTTATGCAACATAGAATCATAGTATAATGGAAAAATATGGCTGGTAGGTACCTCAGGAAGTCATCTAGTCAAACTCCCCCTCAACTCAAGGCAGGATCATTCTGGTCTAAACCATCACATCCAAATTTTAGTTTCACCTGCTCTTAAAAACTTCCAGTGATGGAGATTCCACATTCTCCCTTGGCAATCTGGAAAATAAAGTCCAAAGAAGAAACATCTGTACATCTGTTACAATGAGTCAAGGACAAAAATAAATACCCTTTCCCCCAGAGACAAGTTGTGTTTTAAAAGGTCATTTTCATTAATATTGGCATAAGGAAGTATTCCTGTACCATGTGGGGTGTCTGGGATGGGAGGTGATTTTACTGAAAAGGAGGTTAATCTCCATTGCTGCCCCCACTCAGGTTCTTCACAGGTTCTGTAGGAGGGAGCAGATTTAATTCACATCAGAGCTTCACTGATGTTCTGCCATCAGGAGGCAGCTGAAGGAGGTGATGTTTCAGTGCAATGGCAACACCTCTCTCCTGGTCAATACCACAAACTTATTATAGAGTTCTGCTCCCCTACAGCTGCACAATACAAGAAAGGTTCACTTGCATCTCTTCTATTGGCTTCCTTGAGGAAGAATTCAGCCCACAACCTTTTACTGCACTGTAGCTCCAATGGCTGCACATCCAGATTAGGTAGGTTAAGAAACCATGTAGAGTAGTTGCATGCACAAACATATTCTTAACCATTGGAAATGCTAATACATTGCATGAGGTTAACTTCATTATTTGGGGGCATAAAAATATTAGAATGCTTTGGTGCAATCTTTTTCTTCCACCATATTGTGCATTTTTTAAAACAAAGTCTGCATTTGTATCAAATGTTTTTGACCTAAAGGTGAAGAGAACCAGACTGCTCACAGTAGACTTATGCTGGTGTTTTCCAGGTTGCTGAAAATTGTGAGGAGCTGACAGAAATGGTGCAGGACAATTGCATGCATGAAGTGAAATATTATGATCTCATGCATCTTAATGAATCCTTGGAGATCTCCAATTATTCCTTGAGGATCAAAAACACTACCAGTCACAATAGTGGAATATATAAGTGTACTTTGTGGGAATCGACTGGAAAGCACAATGAAAGTGGCACAGTCCCATTAAAAATAACAGGTATGGTTGGGTCATTTGGCTACTGACTATTTCCTATGACCTCTCAGTGGTTATAGGTGAACAGAAATACTGATTCATCTTTCACACACTTCATTTTATTTTGCTTTTCAGATTGCCCAGAAGATGAAAAATTTAAGAAATACAAAACAGAACTTTTATTGCTGACCTGCCTTGGGATTTTTTACTTACTGCTCATATTTTTTACCTGCGTAAGTCATTTTTGTGAACATTTGCTTTATTTATTGGCATCATCCTAACAAAATAACTCAGTTAGAAATGGGTTCCCATACCCAATTTCTGGCTAGTTTGCAATCCTCAATGTCCATGCCCACCCCCACCCTCCCAACCCCAAACCCTGATCAAAGCGGGGGGAGGTCATGGGGCACAAAAGAATGCAAGCCTGATAAGAGATAAAGCACTTATTCACTTCATTCGGCCATCTGGCTCACAGCATGCTGGCCATGTTCTGCACCCAGACACTCATTTCTGCTCCAAGTTACATCAAATATAAATTCAGGGGAAGGCCATTAACATCAGTGGGTTATGTCAGGAAACAGTCATGTCTTTAGAAACAGAATTTGTCCAAGGCTGAGCAAGACACCTCTGAGACCCCTTTTTCCATTTACTACATACCTTCTGCCTGATGCATTGTATGCTACTCAATGTACACACCCAGAACTTGATACTTTCTCACTAAAATCTACAAGATATTTCGTTTGTTCCATATCTGTAAAACATGGGTGATCTCCCTTCAGAGGGAGGCCAAACAGCTTAATATTTGTCATTACACATCTATAAAGCATTTTGAAATATTGGCATGGTAAACAGTGAAGTGGAAAGGAGTGTTATAAACAAAGGTACTGAAAATAGTAGTTTTGGACTGGAACATGTGTTGCAGCCCCTTCAAAGAACAATATAAAATCCACTTATTTGGCCTACTGAGATTTGCACAGTTTTTCCATGTCTTCTTATAGAACGAAGGGAAAAAACCCACGCAGAACACAAAAATACTATGTAATGTAAATTCCAGCTCAAAAGTCAGGCAGGAAGAGTAAGAGAACTATAGCTTTATCTGCACATTTAAACCCTAAACCCACAATATGTTTACACTGCTGTAAAAAAGGAGCAAAGATACTACATGTAATCCTGTAGTGGTGTAATTTATTCAAAGCTGGAGAATTATTTTAGGAAAAATCAGGAGTAAAACTATACCAGGATAAGTTACATCAGCATACGTGACCAGTGTACACATCAATAGACACAGCTTATCTCAAGGTGGCTATTTACAGAAAGCAGCCAGCTATGTGTTTCCAGCCAGCTAGTGGCAAGGAATTGTAATAGCACTAACTGTACCTCAGGGGGCACTGTTCATCTCTCTCCCCTAGATCTTGGAATAATTTACATTAGCATACAGAAGTGATGCCAAATACACCAGTCTGAGTGTACTGTGTGTCCAGGCACTTCATTTTGAAAGGTAATTGCGTGAAAGGTGGAAAGAAGAGACATTTTTAAGAAGCTAAATAGATAGGAATTCTGTTTGCCTTGTTAGTGCCGTCACCTCCTCTGGCATAAAAATAAGAGGTCTGTAGTCTATAATCTTGAGACAGAAAGTGCCTCAGGTTTTAGTACAGGACGGTGCGAGTTATATTTTTAAACAATGGTTCTATTCCCTCCTATAAGAGATTTGGGTTTTTTTACAAAGAACCCCTCAAACCTCCACAGATTGTGTTTAAGTTTTCCTGACTACATTTCTTTGGCTTTATTGTCTTCCTCATTGACAGATAAATCGTAAATGCTATCTGATTGAAGAGTATCCAATTAGTTGTAGCTAAATGTAGATTTTGATATATCTTCAGGGAGCAATTAAACTTCTGTCTGTCTCTTCTTTAGATTGACAGTCTCTACCAGTAATTTGTGCTGTTCAGAATAAAGTTTGACAAGATAAATCTTGTAGGAATTTGTTAAAATGAAATTATGAAAGCAAGTATATCACTCATGAAAAAGTTGTCGCTGTTCTGCTCAGTGTCCTGGAAGTGGTCCATTCTACTAATAAGGACCCTTCTTTTCCATATATAAAAGCTGTGCATCCCATTTGCTACATTGGAAGTTGTGTGGCTAAAAAAATCCAAGCCTTATCTTGGAGGTGACCATCCTTATGAAAAACTGCATGAGACACTCCACAAGTATGGGAGCCCAATCTCAGAGACAATGAGTCATCTTTCATCAATGTTTAATATTGCCTTAATCTATGAAAAGAACTTTACTATTTAATATGTCTGACAAGTTTTTATAAAAGTCTCATCGTTCCTTTGTGTGTGCAAGTCCCACTAAACACACTGGCAATTATGAGTGTGCACTGAAAGCAGGATAGGGGCTTTATTAAGATTTAAGGTTGATAATTTGATGAAAATATCTCAGACAGGACCTGGTATACAAGCCAGATGGAAGCAAGTTTGTTGGAACCTGATCTGATATGAAGCACTTAGAGAGCTGGTCGGGTTCACACTGTCACTCTTCAGAAAGATCACCAAGGTGATACCCATTTAATCAACCTTTAATTAAAAATAAGTTTCCCCCCTGGTATCCAGGTGTTCTTACCATATGAAATCTTTGGATTAGTGGGCAAGCAAGAGAAGGTGAATAATAATAATTTAAAAAACCCCTTTCCTTTGATTTGAGCCACTGTTTCATGGGAAATGAATGAAAAACACATTCTCATTAACTGGTTAGTGCTGTGAATTTCAAGTTTCTTAACACCTACCGTAATGTATAATTCCTGCTTTCAAATGAATTCAGAAAGGAAAAAAAATTCTAATTATGCTTTTCTTTTTTTGGTTTTAGAAATGCCTAAGAAAAGAAAGCATGTTTTCAGATTATCAGAAAGGAAGAAGAGTAAAGAAACATACGCTTACCCTTGTCAGCGCACGAGAAATGATGACTTTCCAGCATTTAGACAGCAGCAACACTGGCAAAAATGGACTTAATTGGAATTCTGTCTAAGTTGATGTTGTTAAGACACCGTGGGTTCATCAATAAACATGACATGAAGATGGATGGTTGGGCAATGTGGAGAGAGAACAAAAGCTAACACATTGCCTCTTCAGGAAAGCCTTGTCTGGGTGATCTGTCAGCTATCTGCTTGCGCTGGACAAGTCTTCGAAGAGCATTTTCATACACTACAATAATTCTTGAATTTAACATGACTAACAAATACCACTGCAGCTATACAACTATCTGGAAAGGCAACTATGTTAGCACATACTCTTTCTTCAATCCATCAAAAGCTGTCTTGGTTGGAGTGAGGTGGCTATTCTTACCACATGAAGACTATACTATAGCAAGAATGTGGCAGCTTATATTTGAGGGATAGAGTTATTTACTGAACTAATACCTCTGCTCTTTCAAAATAACACACAACAGTTGCTGCTCTATTTTCAGAGAATGAAACAGGTAGGACTTTTTCTACTCTGGACACCCAGTTATGATTCTTGATGGAAATAACTCTGCATAACATCGTCCTACCCTTTCACCAGATCAGACCAGGTGTTTCTTAAATCTCCAAGGGACCCCTGAAAAAATGTCAGAAAACAACCTGAAAATATTTGCTTAGTGTGCAGACTCTCCTATGCTAAAAATGAGACTATGCTAAAAATGGAACTAAAAAGTACCTTTAATTCAGAAACTGTTCATATAAAACACTGGTACATAGTAGTTGTTCTTTTTTCTCCCCCCAAAAAACCCAATCAGTGAAGCATCATGTGAAAGTCAAAGAAACTTAAAAATGGATGGTTTCATAAAATGAATAAAATCAAAATTTATCCTTGGTTTAAATCAATGGAATGATGCCAATGGTGCATAGAGCCTATGGCATGCAAAATCAGCCGTCTGGTTCCTTGGAATATACTGAGTTGGCAATGAGATCTTAGATGAGCTGGAACAATTGGGCTTCATGATATTCATGGTACATGCTGTGTATGAGAAATAAGGATACTAGAAAAGCTAACTGTAGGTACCTGTTCCAAGAGAAGGAACACTTGTCATGTTTAACCACAGACAACAAGAAAAATTGCAAGGGTTTTAGAAGTACTGGAGCTGTTTGTGCATAAGGAAAAGGTCTGTGGAATGAGTGACACATCACGGAAGATGTGCAATCACAACTGAAATAATTAAAAACATTTTGTAAGAAGCCAAATGGACTCATTGAAGAGAGAAATTGATGCAGCATGCTTTTTTTTGTTTGGGATTTTTTCCCAGGGGGTTGGTTTTGTTTTGTCTTGTAATTCTAGACTGTTTAAAGACAGAGATGTTTTATCTGTATATGAAGGGTTACTGGGAGGAAAACATAGTAGGCACTCATCAGTGCCCCCTTTCAGCTGATTAAAGATTTGAGCTGAGTTAATTGGAAGAGATTCCTCTTCAGTTGGTGATTGGAAGGACGGTCAGGTTGAATATAGTATTTATTTGGTACATTTGGTTTTTTATAATTGTTTTTTACCCACAAAAGCTTGTACCGTATGTCAAATAAAAAAATCAGAGTTAATTACCATGTGTATTCCTGTGTGCTATCTATGGAAAATAAAACTAGAAAAATACCATATTAAATACATATTATTTTAGAATGAACAGCATTACTTAATTGATTTAGATGCTTCATCCAGTCTGTTCTGTGTGAGTTAAAGCAGGTATGTATAAAACAGATTGTCATAATTTATATTTTGCATTTCCAAATTGTTATTGTTATTAACAACAATAATAATTTAATTGTGTCTCAAAGTACTACTTCAGTTAAAATACACATTTCCAGTTGTTGACAGATAACTGTGTACTGCCTCATTTAGACCACCAAAACCGAGGACACCAATAATAGTAACATGAACATTTGTCAGGTAGTAGCAAGAACTGGACATGAATGTATACTGCCCCAATACCCTCCCTGGGCTCAGAACAAGTCTGGATGTAGTCAAGAATAGATTTATAGATTTCTAGAGTCGGAAGAGACCTGGTAGATCATTGGGTCCGACCCCTTGCTCCAGGCAGGAGAGAGAGCTGGGGTTAGGTAACCCCAGCCAGATGCTTGTCTAATCTCCTCTTGAACATCTCTAGGGTAGGGGAAACACCACCCCACCTTGGAAGCCCATTCCATATTTTGGCAACCCTTACTGTAAAGAATTTCTCCCTCATGTCCAATCTAAATCTGTTCTCCTTCACTTTGTGGCCATTATTTCAGGTAACCCCGAGGGGTGCCCTGATAAATAGAGTGTCCCCTATTCCCTGCTGGCCACCCTCTGATGAGTCTGTAGGCAGCCACAAGATCACCTCTCAGCCTTCTCTTGCGGAGGCTGAAGAGATTCAGATCCCTCAGTCTGTCTTCATAGGGTCTTATGCAGGCCCTCAACCATACAAGCAGCCCTCCATTGAACACTCTCAAGGTTATCCACTTCCCTCTTGAAGTGCAGTGCCCAAAACTGGATGCAGTACTCCATCTGCGGCTTCACCAATGCCACATAGAGGGGAATTATCACTTCCCTAGACCTGCTTGTGATGCTCCTGCTGATGCAAGAAAGAGTGCGGTTAGCCTTGCTTATTACCTCATCACACTGGTGACTCATGTTCATTTTTGCATCAACCAGGACTCCGAGATCTCTTTCCACTGTTGTGGTACTCAGAATGGTACCCCCCAGTCTATAAGTGTATTGGAGATCCTCTCTCCCCAGATGCAACACCTTGCATTTATCCTTGTTGAATTGCATCCTATTCTGATCTGCCCACTTCCCCAGTCTGTCCAGATCTCCCTGAATGTGCTCTCTGCCCTCTAGTGTGGTACGCCCCACAGTTTAGTGTCATCTGCGAATTTGGACAGGGTGCTTTCAACACCTTTGTCCAAATTGCTGATGAAGACATTAAACAGTACTGGTCCAAGGACAGAGCCTTGGGGGACACCACTGCCCACATCCCTCAAAGGAGAAACCGCCCCATCCACCACCACTCTCTGGGTGCATCCCATAAGCCAGTTTTTCACCCACCTTACTGTGAAAAAATCCACATCGCAGCTACTCAGTTTGCTTGTAAGAATTGGGTGCAACACTGGGTCAAAAGCCTTTTTAAAATCCAGGTAAATAATATCTACTTCCTTCCCTGCATCTAAGCACTTTGTGACCTGGTCATAAAAAGAGACCAGGTTAGTCTGGCAGGATCTGCCTGCTATAAACCCATGCTGGTTGCCCCTTAACATTTTGCTACCCACTGGCACTCTGCAAATGTGATCCTTTGTGATTTTTTCTAAGGTCTTGCCAAGAATAGAGGTGAGGCTAACTGGTCTATAATTACCCAGGTCCTCCTTCCTCCCCTTCTTGAAGATAGGGACCATGTTGGCCCTTTTCTAGTCCTCTGGGACCTGTCCGAAGTGCCACAAGTGCTCAAACAGCTGTGCCAGTGGTTCTGCTATATCATCGACCAATTCCTTTAGTACCTTTGGGTGAAGATTGTTGGGGCCCACCGACTTAAATATGTGCAACCATTCCAAGTGCCCCTTCACTAGGTCAGTGCTAATCGTTGATGGATTGGTACTACTCTCACTCCAGACTAAAGACTGATTGGGAGATACATTTGTATCCATGTCCAGGAAAACAGAAGCAAAGAAATGATTTAAGAGCTCTGCTTTTTCCATCCTATCAGTTACGAGTTGCCCTAGTCCATTCTGTAGCAGCCCTATGTTACCCTGCACCTTCTTCCTGCTCCCTACGTACTTAAAGGACTTCTTGATCCTTGATCTTTGTTGCCAATTTGAGTTCTGTATCTGCTTTGGCCTTTCTCACTGCTTCCCTGCAAGCGCGAGCTAAGTAGGTATACTCCTTCTTGGTGGCTGCCCCCTGCTTCCACAGCCTTTTATCCTCTGAAGGCTCAGCCAAGAAGGTTACTTGACTCTTTTGCCTCCTTTGTGTGTACTGGGATGGTGTCCCTCTGTGCCTGTAGGATCAGTCCCTTGAGGAACTCCCACCCTTCTTGGACCCCCATCTCACAGATGCGATTACCCATCAGTCCCACCCTAATCAATCTCCTGAGCTTGTTGAAGTTGGCCTTCTGGAAGTCTAGCACTAATGCTCTACTATTTGTCTTTCCCACCTTACGCCGGATAGTGAATCCTATCAACTGGTGGTCACTATCCCCTAGGTTAACTTATACCTGTAGCTCCCCTACCAAGTCCTCCTCTGAGGCCAGTACCAAGTCAAGTAAGGCATCTCCCCTAGTGGCACTGCATACCTCCTGTGTTAGATGCAGGTCCTGTATCCAGGTTAAGAACCTGCATGAACGGGCAGACCTAGCTGACTGTTCCTCCTTTTGAATAGTCAAAACTATTCAAGGTATTAGCTGATATGGCTCATAGTCACTATCACAACGACTTTCTCCTCCTTAACAAGGAGTGTGGAAAAAGATTGATAATTAGCATGTCGAGGGAGATTTTTTTTAAAGGAAGCCTCAGAAGTGCTGTTATAATTATGTTCTCAGATTTATAATGCAGAGATCAGACTGAGGCCTGTGCCAGCCTGACTCTGTGGAAGCAACTATGTCCATTATTTCTGGTTTCTGGGATAGCTTGTTTTAAATAGAGAAGATTGGGCCTAAGACAAAACTATTTCCCTTCAGAGGCACATTGCAGAGGTGTTGCAAGGCAGCTCTGTGCTGGGAGCAGATGCAATGCATAGGGCAGTGCTGGCTGCTTTCAAGCTGATTCTAGTGGTGTGGTCAGCCACCCTACCATCAACAGCTGCTTGTGCACTTCCCCACAAAGGAGATACCCATTTGCCTCCCCTTGGTTACCCTGCTGCCATACTGAAATGGATAATTCTAGCATTTTGATTTAGACCCAATTCTGACTTACTTTTCAACACACATTAGTAGGCTGCAGAGCTTGGAAGAAGTAGATATTGGGAAAGTCTTATGGCTTATGCTAAGACGTTCAATTGTCTTATTGTAAGATGGATCTGATAACATATCAGTGAAAATTTCAAAGTGAAGGAATGTCCCTGCACCTCAGAGAGGTTTGCATACTTGTGAAGAGAGTATTCTCACCCTATCAACAAAGCCGAAAAAACGAGGGGTAAGAGCTTACAACTAGCTGAAGATCAAAGTTTAGATACATCAACAATCACATGGCAAGACCAATGGTTGCCAGAAACACTCTGAAAAGGAAGTTTTAAGGTTGCATCTAAAAATCCTTCACACAGTAAGCTGCATAGCATTCAAATAATTAATAATTAATAATTTGGGGGCTGGACTCGATGATCCTTCGGGGTCCCTTCCAGCCCGAATGTCTATGAAATCTCAAAAAGCTAATGGACCAAGAGCATTCTGTTATAATACAGACCTCTATTGGATATCTACACAGGCAAATCATTTCATACCTGCTGACCATATAACTAAACCAAATTTCTAGCAGGTGAATTTGTGTAAGAATGTAGGAGGCATATGACACTGGCAATGTTGAGAGAGGTATATTTATGTATTGCTTAATATGCAGGATGTAAAAGTTTGAATGGAATAATGACACTATTGGGCATACTTTTGTTTCCTCTTTCACCAGGCTTCCTGTAAATGATGCTTTTTTTTGTTTTGAGAAATTACACCATAGAAATGTCTGTAGTAAACACTGCTGCACCATTGTAATATGGTACATTCCACTAAAAAATTCCAAGGTGATTCAAAAACATGAATGCATGTATCTTTAGATACCCCTGTGCTATAGCAAAATGTTATAATCTAGGTTTCACAGCTAGTTTCCCTGTATCTCAGTTTTTTTAAGGAAGTTTTTCATGGCCATTTAAGAGGTCTGTGTCAGGTCCAGGAAGAAACCCAGATTCCTCGTTCTCTGACATACATCTTTTGATTATTTTTATTAATATTTTTTCTTGAAGACTATAGACTTTATTTTTCCACTAGGTTTTCTGAGGGTGGGGGTGGAACTGAGTGCATTCAGAGAAAACTGCTTACTTATTTTTCCACTTCACATACAAATTCAATGTGTAGATAAAGTGCATTCATCTTGGATTAGCTACTACATAGGGAACACTACACCAACAGAAAAATTACTCCACAAGGAAGTTGCAACAGCTATATACTAAAAACTAAAGGAATATCCAAAATAGCAACAAGAGAAAGCAAAGAGACATTCCTGAAATGCTGAGTGTATGAATTATAGTCCTGGGTATAGGTTGTAGCCATGTTGGTCTAAGGACATAGGCACACAAGGTTTTTTGGGTAAATCTGATATCTTTTATTAGACCAACTCAAATGGATGAAAAAATTCTTCTTTGCAAGCTTTTGTGTACAAACACCCTTCATCAAGCAACTGCAGTTGGTCTGTGCTCTTCCTGGATGGAATAGTAAAGAAACCAGAAGTAAAGAATTATAGTTCTTAGCTAAACCTGATTTGTGTGACTAGCACTTACACAGCAGATAACCCAGGCTGACAGCGACCTTGGCAGAGTTGCAACAGTAATATTTTCTGTAAAGGCTGAATGGTTCTTGACCAATTTCTCCTGAGTAATA